AAAGGGAGAGTGGGGTAAAAGGATGGAGTAAGCTTAGTGTGTATGGACGGTTTCACGTCTCTGCAATGGGCAAGGGTGATGGTGATGGACATGTGGGTACATGGACAAGTAGGAACATGGTAACAGAGTTTGTGATGGGAAAGTAAATGATGTAATGGCAACGAGGTGTTTAATAGACTGTCAGGTGAGCCATCAAGACCACAGGACAGTCTTTTGGTAGAAGTAATGCAATATATATATATATATATATATATATATATATATATATATATATATCCCCCAACTCAGGAGTCCCAAGAGAAGGAGAAGCTCCAGATAACCTGCCAGGGAAGATACCTTTCTTAGGCTGGCAGGGGAAACACTATGACCACTAAGGTGGTTTTCCTAGTCTCTGGGGATAACCATTTTTCTGGCAAAGGGTAGTATCTGGGTAGAGGTAATGTATAGTTAACCTCCCACTTCCATTTCCAGTGGGAAGGTCTTGACTTTACGCCCACTTTATGGAAATGGGAAACTCCTCCCTAGCTTGCTTCTGTGGTCATATATAAGGCACTTATAAAAGAAGAGGGCTTTTTTCCCCTATGCCAGTTGCGGGGAGGGGGGAACCTCATCTTGGAATCAAGTAAATACAGTAATATTAAAATCAATTTATGAAACATATATAAACATTCTACTCACTGCACATTTCTTCACTCTGTAAAACAGATTAAATCCATCTAATAAAGAACTGCTTAGAATCATATGGAAAGTTGTCAATGCAACTACTACAATGGGTATATCTTAATTAAAGAAGTTTAATTAACCTTCCTCAGGATTCACAAACCATTTCAATTCCTTCTCTTGTCAACTTAATATACTAAGAGCTACAGGGATGTGGCTAGTGGTAGGCAAGGCCTGCCACAGAATCCAAGGCCCTGGGGCCTTGGTGAACACAACCACTGGCAGCAAGAAGCTGAGGGCTGCAGCAACACTGCCGTTGCTTGACTGGCCTACTGCCATTGGCATGCCTCTGCCATAGCAAGAGGCCACTTGCTGCACAGGTGGCACCACTACAGTGTCTGCTACTACTGCTATAGTGTCCTTTTTGCCACTCCCACCACAGCTGCTGCTGCTACAGTGCCAGATCCAGCCCATAGAGAGTTCTGCAGTCCGGGTCTAGCCCAAGGAACCAAGTGAGTTTGACATCCCTGAATTGAAGCAAGCTGCTGTCTGACTATGGCCACCAGCTCTGGATTGAAATTATCCTACAATTATCCTTTAGGGACAAATTCACTATATTGCATTACTGAGTCAAGTAACTTTAGAACATTTTGCTGTTAAAAATGTGATAATATCTGCATCAGAAAGTTGCAAAACAATAACTTTTTCCCCAAAGGTCCATGTTTTCAAGATAGCAACCTTAGTTTAAATCCATATTGATCCCCAGGCCTGCTATAGGAAATAGCAGTGCTAGTAAAACTAAGGCAATACCAGAAATTAAATTCTCTCCATGACTATTTTCTAAAATAAAAACAGATAAATAATCTTTGCCGGGGCTCAGGGCCACTGCACAGTCTCTGTCATTATTCTACCAAATTACACTAGTAGGAACGTTCATGGAAACAGTGTATTCCAAGCAACATGCTGGCAAGTCACTTCTGCCCTTACTGCCTTTTTTGGATTAGGTGACAGTGAAGATTCCAGAGCAGTCAGAACATGCTATTTTCATAATCATCAGTAATCAAACTAGAAATATAATTCTAAGATTTACATACCTGAACAGGGAACAAAGCAACCTAGGTGACTTGCATGCCCAATAAAATCTATCCACAGTTCTGAAAGGAATCATCTGAGGTACCAGAGAGCTATACCCAGGAATCCTTTCTAGTTCTACATTCTTTATCTTACTTAAGTTTCAGATTTCAAATATCTTGCTCTTTCACCAACCTATCTGTGATTGACCTATAGCCTATGAATTATACCGAGACATTATTTATGATTTAATCTTGAACATTCAAGAAAATTCAAACTCATCAAGGTGAATTCACAAACAGAAAGATACTGAATGTTATTTAAATTATTCACTATGGATTGTTGGTCTCAGATCAATTCATTAATACTCCAAATAAGCTATTCAGTAATATTTAACCTTCTATAGTTAAAAAAAGTCTAAACAGAACAGTATCCTGGAGAAAATTACACACTTATTTTCTTTTTCTTTCTTTGCTATCATCTCATTAGATCGCATCTTTATTAAAAAATGTAATCTGAAGTAATTCAGTATGTCCCTAAAAGTATCTTTGAAACTAGTATAATCACCCTTACACCCTGTATGATTAGAAGACAAAAACTGTGCCTCTCCCTTGCTATAATAAAAAGTTATATAACTATATAGAGAGAATCAGCAATCATTCAAGATATTCTCAATCAACACCGAGAAAATAACGCTGTCAACCTCATCAGCCAGCAGGTCTCTCCTAATCTGGTAGTATCATTCCATACCAAATTATTTTAGTGCTGTGCTACATATATGGATTAGTATATCATTACTCTATAAAACAGTTTGGGCTCATCTTTCAGAGGTACTGACCATCTATGATTCCAACTGTAGTAAATGCCTCCCCCACCCCACTCCAAAATGAGATATCATATCATATGAAAGAGATTTAATTTCCTTTGAAAGAAATACAATTACATTCTGTAGATATACAGAATTACATACACAAGAAGTGCAAACCTATACTTCTTCCCTTGACCACATACAAGTATTTGTACTTGTACAAGTACACATCTCCCACAAGTATTCAATAAGCACACACATAAGCTTATGCAAAAGACTAACTACTCCCATATTCAAACAAACTTTAGTAAATGACAAGAAAAGAACAGAAGATCACTTCCCTGTTAAAATATACTGAAAGCACATCTAGGAAATGCCCAATATTGACATTTTAATGAAAATGTACAAGTCTTGAAGCACCTTTTATCAAAGGATAGCTCTCAATGCATTGCTTGTTTCAACTATAAATCTTTTCAACTATAAGTATAACACATCTTTCAATGCACTTGCCAGTGTATTGTAGTGCCATGGTCACAGGGTCCAAGCATATCTTGACATTATATTTAAATGCCCTTCTTCCCTCCTTTTACAAATGGGGAACCTAGGTATACAAAGCTAAGTGATCTAACCCAAGGTAATGCAGAAAAACTTTGGCAGTTGCCACAAACTGAAGCCAGATCTGCTGGTAGACAAGTCAATGCTTTAACCACAAGGCCATTCACTTTAGGGCAATACTAAGGTATTAATCATCCCCAACAGCTACCTTGCTGGGAAGGCAAGACTTGTTTATGCCCATTTTTCAAACAAGGGAAGACTGAATGAAGAGAGGTTAGAATTTTCCCTCTGTTGCTCAGTGGATAAGTGAAAGGCCCAGGAAAAGAAGTCTCGAGGTTGCAGCTCACATTGCCTACTTTTGCCTACGCTATGCTCCCTTTCCTGGATAATAGCTCAATACAGGGCTTTCCAATTTCTAACTGGCTGGGGGTTGCATACCTCATGGGCCACATCAGCCAGAGTCATGGCCCGCCCAGGCCACAGGTTTTTTAGTACTGTATTTACTCAAATCCAAGATGAGGCTCCCTCCTCCCAGCCACACACAAGATGGGGGGAAAGACCCTCATCTTGGATCAGAGTACAAGGTTGGGGTGGAGGATGAGAGGGTGGGGACAAGCAACTGTATTATTTATTACACAGTAATACTCAAAACACTATTGATTTCCAAAGAGTATAGGGAAACCTAATTGGCAGATGTTTTATATAGCATAACTAACAGGGTTTTTTCTTCTCAATGCTTTGTAACAAGATTAAGGTAATTTCCCTTAGAAACAGAAGTGTAATAATGACAAATTACTGTTATTTCACGCTACGGTCAATCTTTTACATTCCAAATAATCA